CTGAACTGACTTTCCGTGGTTAGTAAGGAACTTTATAACGGCACGGAACTCGATTTTCTCCATATTTCACAATTTTTTCCCGATTGACTTGTTTGGTTGACGATAACTCAAAGGCTAATGATCTAATTACAATAAAACCCAGTATTTATACTAATAATGAGTTGCTCAATTAACACGTAATTCAGCTACGTCCTCACTTATTACCTACCTACCCATTCCGCGAACTTAAAAACGAACCCTCATAGTTGGCTAATCCGAGCGCTATGCGCACTTCGGCTTTTGACCGTAACTTCGGAATAATTCATTATTGATATCGAGATATAATTTTTGAATAAGTAGACTGACATGCAGTCGAGAGTTAGTAGCACTAGAGACTTGTTATAAACAGTTAGGACTGCTACGAGTTTAGTTTCGGCGCGTATAGGAACTGAATTTCAGCTGTCGTTTTTTATAGAGATAGTAAACGAGCACGCGGCTCACTTGATGACACACGGCGACTACCGCCGCCTATGAACAACCAGGGGAATTGCAGATATGCGTTGCTGGCCTTTTAAAAAGAGTAGGCTCTTTTCTTGAAGGTCCGTAAGTCGTATCGGTCCGGAAAATCTCTGGTGGTAGGTCGACTCCGCAAGGAAGTTGTGCAAGGAAGAAAAATCCTTCTTAATCACACAGTGGTGGGCCGCCAATCATCCAGAAGATACGGATGGTATCGTGAGCTTTGTCGCGATGTGCGATGGTGAAATTGAACGGCTGGAATTAGTCCGAACAATTTTTATATTTTAACATTGGCATAGCTGACGTGTTCGTAAGGCCCGGTTCTGCGCTGTTGTAGTACAAAACACTTTACTTGGTCATCTCTAAGGTTATTGTTTAGAGTAAGTGTCTATAACTAGTAAATATAGGAAGGATGGAAAGGATAGATGTTGAAAATCTACAGTGTACCTTAAGAAACACTTGAGGTACACTGTAGATTTTTGGTTACGTATATTGTGTTTCATTTATTTCCAAATGAACCATTTATTTTCAAAGAAATGAAAGGTTCCAAAGAAAAATAAATCCAGTAAACTATTATTGATACATACAGAGCCCGTAACCGATGTGTAAAATAATACTAATAATTTGCATCTAATAATTCTATAATATTTATTTCATGTTGATGTCATAGATTTGTGATACATACAATCATGTTGATAAGTCAATAAAGATACATATTTCACGAAATCTAACGACTACTTTAAACTCTAAAGGAAACATAATATACGTAGCCGAAAATATAACCTTCCCTTTTACCTCCGTCGTAGTCGGCTACAAATAGATAAATATTGTGTAGAGACATGCAAAGGAGTCAAACGATTGTTTCGTAAATGTTATCTTATCCTTGACACGCCGCGGTCCGTAGCGCGCACCAGCCATTACCTTTGTTTATTTTTTTATTTTGAATGCAAACTGACTCCCATTTCATGATAGTTAAATCATAATTCTCAAAGTCCATCGCCCCATTTCGTTCGCATGTCGTAAGAGACGACTGTAGGTGATGTCAGTAAAATCTTATAGCTTCAGATAGATGGCTATATACATACCATCTTGTTTCCGTCGTCCGCGTCAGAGCTGCGAGACCTGTGCGATCGTCAGCTGCAAGCGTGCCGGTTAAGGTAAATTTTTCGTACAATGCAAGAGGCAAGCGAAGCGTGGCAACCGTGACAGATATCCCCCCCGTGAGGCATTCTGCGGGGGAGACCTCCTGGTCAGCAGTGGATTTTATTAGCATAGTTGCCGCGCTCAGCCGGCGAGTTGGCAGCCGTAGTGTTTATTGTTGTAAGTAGTCACGAGGAAAATGCTTCCGTGTCAGTTTCTCTTTGTCTCCTTTTGCGACACTTATGTGACGACGCGCGAGCAGCGCCGCCACACGGTTTAGTTCATAAAATTACCTAACATAATATAATGATAAAATAACAAAGGACTAAATTAATGTAGCCGCATCGATGTCACAATTCAGAGGGCAGCCGAAATAGATCACGATTCATCAGTTAAGCGGCTTTTCGTGTGTTCGCTGTCACATGAACTTATCGATTAGTGTACAACAATAGACTTAATAAATTCACTCAAAGACAATTGTTTGGGGTTTGGATGTTTGTCTATGTCAAATTTATGTATAACAAACGCCTATACAATAAAATTCTCGTATGGCGGTATAAAACAAAAACAAGCAAGTGTAAGTAGTAGCCCTAAAGGTTCCAAACTCAGGTATGTACCTACTTTCAACAGAATAATTAAGATTTAACTAAGAAGAAAGAAGAAGTAGACACTTAGTTTTGACACAGAGCATTGACGTATACAACAATACAATAATTTATGTAACAAAAATACGTAAGTTCATAAAATTAGCTTTACACGTTGAAGGTATGTCAAAAAGATCCGATTTCGGAGGAACACTCGTATCCTTTATCTCCTTTTTAACATCCTACATAGCCCAAATTTCCCTACATACCTCCAAAATCGATTTACCTTTCTTAAATCCCCAGATACAGTTTATAGATCTCACCTTAAAACCCTCTTAAAATTCCCATCCTTTAATACTCATTCATATTCCCGTTCATTCTCCGTACAAGCATTAAGACTCTGGAATTCGCTTCCTACTCACATTCGAGAAATCAAAACAGTGACATTGTTGAAAAAATGAGTGAAAGAACATTATTTATCGCTGTCTTCTGTGTGAGTCTCAAATCTTTGATATTTACTATACAAATATATGCATGTACATTTGTATATGTATGTGTGCGTGTATATATGTTTATATATATATATATATATATATATATATATATATATATATATATATATATATATATATAAGTATTTGGGCTGACGTATGTATTTATTTTATCCCCATATGTGTTGTATAATAACAAAGTGCACACCTTCATTTATTAATCATATGTGTTTGAAACTGGCCTACTGGAAGAAATTTCATTGTGAGATAAGTAGAGCCTTTGTACAAACTTTTTATCATAATTGTGAAATAAATAAAGATTTTCAGTAAAGACTTAGTTGGTAGGACTTCTTTTCTACCAAGTTCCTGTCTGAAGGGTAAAGAGAGTCAGTGTAATTAGAGGCTATGGGGCATTCCGTTTTAGTCTGCAGCTGTGAGAAGTGAGAACACATCTGTACCATTCTTTGTATAAAGTTGACAACAGATATCTACGGACCACTGCTGCTGCAGCGCTCACCGTCAGCTGGACTGTCAATTCGTTTGTCACTTCAGTTTAAAAAAAAACAGACGTTAATAAGACAGGCTATCCCACATCCCTATATCCTTATGATAATCCTGGCACTTCCTATGGACGAAATGCGGTGATAGATTCTATTACGCCGTGGGTACTGGGGGTTGGTGTGTCGATACCATACTCATCTATGTTTATTAGAAGTGTACTATAGCAGTACACAAGGCTAACAATTTGCCTTCAATTTCATTTCCATTGTCAAACTTCTAAGGAAATATCGATGTAGATGGTCGCATTATTCACTTTTGTGGTTTGTAGATGCTATTTTATTTATACTTTTGTATGAAACTAGTATCTGATAATAAAATTAAAAAAAAATACAAGTAAAATTTTAAGGCATATTATCCTGGTCCTCCGGGGAACAACGCATCTGCCGTTCTCTTTCTGTGAAGTTCTCTTTCTGTTATATAAGTATATTGTATATAGTTTATATGTAAGTGCCCCCACGCTGCAGTAAGCCATCAGGTGAACTGCCAGCTCGCTTGGCGTTTTAAAATTATAAACAACTGAGTGCGCTCAGCAATATTTGACTACAACACGTGTAGAAGTAGAATTATCTTACACTTCGTATCGGGCGGTTCCTAGTTATTCCACAAATTAATGATATTTATATATATATATATATATTTTTATATATATATATATATATATATATATATATATAAATATATATATATATATAGCCTGCTACTTATTATAAGAAATATATTTTTTCTATTCTTCTCTAAATACTAAGACGGAATGCCTCACAGCGTATAATTATACCGGCTCGTGTCACCTGCAGACCTTACCGCAGCAGCTCCAGCACTGCTAATTGGCGGCAATACATGTGAAAGTACCTAGGATTAGATATAAATAACGTCCTCCAGGCCTAGTTCCGGTCACGGCGGCAATCTCAACGGAGACAAGCTACCTGCGCAGGACAGGAGTATAGTGCTCAAGTGTATTATGCACAACCACAAGTCGTTCTATGTTTCTTCACTCTGGCAATTATGTCTAATGGGACGGTTATCCGACACGACTCAAGAGATATCAGTAGCAGAACAAACGGTTTTTCGTGCTTTCCGTGGGACGAGGGTGAAATACTACCAATTTTCTGACTCCGGGTTGCTACTGAGTACTTCTTAACACAAAAAACCCAATAACAACCGTGTTTGTAAGTAAAATGTAACATCTCATACATAACATGTAATAAGTTTTTTACGGTGTTTTATAACAGGCAATCTAATTATTTCACAGGCAATCTATTCTAGTCCTCAGAGGGGACAACGCTTACATTTTGATTCTTAATCTTTGTCTTATAGAAAATATGTGAGACAAGCGAACACACTAGCCCACTGATGGTAAGTGAATGCTCATAGACAACTACTTCGAGCGTCGATTAAGAGAAAATGCAGATGTCTAACAACAGGCATGACATCTCAGGCCTCAGGAGTTGTTACTCCTGTGTAATGTAATGCCTCATTTCCAGTAAACGGTATTCGAGAACAGATGTAGGACTATGGGCCACGGCATCCCACTTACCATCAGGTGGATTGTCCACTCGTTTGTCACTCTTACTTTAAAAGAAACGCTGCTGTGGGAACCAGTAAAGTTATTGGCTACTTATTGCTTTGATACGTTTTTAATTTTATTCGTTTTGTATTTGAAATAGCTGCGACCGATGTCAAATAAAATAGTATACTTATATGGCCGTAAGCGTGTGTGCAGTTTACTTACTCAGGTGTCCATTGCGGCAGTGGTTTGGTGGCGACGAGGCGGCGGAAGGAGCCGCCGGGCGCGTGCGCACAAACTTCCTCATGGCGCGGGGATTCGAACCCGCACCACTAACGTTAGCACTGTACTCTTACTCGAGTTTTTGGTATTCACTGAGATTGAAGTACCTATCATGTCAGTTTTATTTGTTAGTCCTACAGACTCATCTACTCTTACGATTATAGTAACTTTATTCACAAATAGATTTCAAAATAATTTTACGTTATATTCCTACCCAATATTTTATTTATCACATAATTTTAAATTTTTCTTTGGAAGTTATTTTGACACAGAAGTTTGATATAGAAGGACGTACGTAATTTACAACGTAAATTAGATCGCTAGAAGTATTTATTTATTGTGAAACCGCATACAAGTCCGCCGTCCGATCGAAGTCAGAAGCGCTCGGCACGCCATGCGTGCGCGTACGACGACAGACGCACCGACACTAACACAACATTGTAGCACGGGCAGCACTGCTCGGTGCTCATGCTCACTGTTAGAGATGTGAATAACGGCTAACTGACTGACACTGGGCAACTAACTTATGTGGTTAGGTTTTTTCTTAAGCAACTTATAATAACTGCTTATTTGCTCATAACTTTTTTCGTTTTATAACGCTGTTTAAAATCGACAACCGATGGGGAAGAAAGGTTAGCAAGTGAAAGCCTCGTGTATCAGGTGAAGTATGGGGTGGTCCCCCACTAGATGAGGTGTCGACCTGGTGATATACGCGAGAAGTTAATGTATTAACGTGATTTTTGGCATTCCTTGGGGGAATCCTATGTTCAGCAGTGGACTTGTGAAAGGCTGAGGATGTAAAACTTTAGTAAGAAAACATTATACTTAGACTGTTAGCTTAATAACTTGTGTTTTAAGTACATTGAAAAACATTTTCTGCTGTTGTCTGTGAGCTTATTTATTATATCCATTTATTGCTATCATTACAGGATTACCCTAATACGATAGATAAATCAAACTAGTTACATAATACATCATGAGTCTATAAATTAAAACATAGAAATAACAATGTAGTCTTTGTGAACATCCGAATAAATCCGTTCAGAGGCCATCCGAATACATCCGCTCAGCCACTGCATTGAGTGTGTAGCGCTCGGGTGAGCGGTACCTCGCGTGATAAGCTGATTCCCAGGCGCGGCAGTTCCGCAGTCGCACTCGTCGCCGCCGCTCGGTATTTCGATCTGGCACACACAACTTTATAAGCTGCTGGATAACTGGGCCTCTAATTACACCCCGTAACATCTTGAAACAAGTATATGGCCAGAGTTACTTCCCTTTTTACTTCCAGTGTATAGTATGATACAGACAGAAGTCTGTCCTTGGTATGGTAAGATACTGTAAAATACATAATGAAGTAAGTAATTTCATAGGTAATATAAAATGACTTACTTCACTTTAATATAAATTTAAAGAACTTATCATCGTATGTATTTAACATGCTTAAGACTGTTTGAATATAATTTGGTTTATTATATTTGGTGTCGGTAGTCTAATAGCCGTATTTTTAATCGTCGTAGATTACGTTGTTTCGAAAATTCATCAAAATACGAGCGGGCGTGTGGCAATAACGGCTGTTAACGTAACTGCTTTTTAAATTTAGCTCATTAAATTGCTGTTACATTGTAAGCTTGTCGTTAAAATGCCCATGTCTATTATAGAGCCGAGGCTTGCCGCGGAACAGTTACAAGCGGTTCTTTCTGCTCCACTTGCAATCCACTCACACAGTCAATCAACTCATTACGCTGTCTTTACTTGTCGTTCACCTTACTAAATTAATAATTTAATTTATTGCTCCTAAACTGTCATTTTAGAGTACCGCAAGCGCCGACTGTCTTTTCCATGGAGTTCAACGACACTCGCTTGCTTTGCACGTATTTAACTAAAAACTGCTGAGGATATGAAAACACGCCAAATATATCTTGATATGCAAAAACCGAATTTAAGTTTGTGAGTCCAAAAACGCTTGTTCAAGTTTATCATTGCGGTAAAATGTACGATTTTTGTTATCGTTTTAATACTGATAAAAACTAATTCAAAAGAAACTAACTTGAAATTAAAGAGGCCAAAAACTGTACAAAAGCTGTTATTTTTAAAAAGGGTGACTAAAAAGAGCACACAGTACACCTAATGGCAAGTGAGTACTGTGGCCCATAGACATCTATATTTATTCTCGTTTAAGAATCAATATATAGATGGTATAATATCACTCCTAAGAACTAATATGGATTGCCTCGTATCCAGTCAAAAGGGTCTCCGGTTCTCTGTACACATCATAAGAAACACAGCAGTATTGAGCTGCTACTTTACGCTGGTATTCTGTGAGAGCGTGGTCCTGCCGCGGTCGAGCTGAACCATTCGTGCTACAACTACAATATAGGCGCAGCATGGCTCGACAACGTAAAAACGTGTCTGTGAACAGGTGCCGATCTATTCATAGAACCGGTATTCCCTAGAGACATCGCACTGGCTTAATTTATGCTGTACAGAGGCAGTATATTGGTCCAGATGATCTGAGTCACAGTCTTGATACAGAGTTAGAGTCCGACGCTGTTGCAAAAAGAGCAACCACTTGGACAGCTTTAACAGCAGTAAATTATGGAGAATTTTAAACAATATAATGACCTATACCGACTTATTTTTGTACGTGGTTCCACGTGTTCCACCAAATAAAAATAACATATTATAGTTGTACCACCGAATGGGTGGGCTCGACTGGAGTAAAGGAAGGAACAAGTTTTCACAGAATATCAGCGTAAAATAGCAGTTGAATGCTGCTCTATTTCGTATGGTAAACGTAGAGAACCGGAGACCTTTTTTACTGGATACAAAGCATTTTATCTTAGTCCTCAGGAGTGACAACGAATATGCATATTAATCGATAATAAAAGTAGACAGCTAAGGGCCGCAGTATCCACTTTCCATCAGATGGACTGTACGATTGCTTGTCACCCTTTTGTATACAAAAATAGGAATATGCACCTTTTTATAGTGTTCGAAGTAGCACTTTTTAATTGCAGTTTGATGTATTGTTATTTTAATTTATTTAGACTATTTGGTATCATTGGAAAGGATATAGTCAGGTTCCAAGTAATTTCATTACTAAAGTATGATTACTACACCACTGCTAAACGTAGGCCTTCCCCAAGAAATGCCAAAACACACAGTCTGAGCCACCTGCATGTCTTACCAGGTCGTCACTCCATCTAGTGGGGGGCCGCCCTACACTACGTATACCGGTACGAGGCTGTCACTCGAGAACCTTTTTTTCACATCAGTTGTCGGTACTTCAAATTATATGGCCTGCGCATTTCAACTTAAGCTTACTAAACCGTTGGGCTACGTCGGTCACTCTGGTTCTACTGCGGATATACTCATTTCTAAGTTTATCACGCAGAAAAACCCCGAACATAGCCCTCTTCATAGCTCGCTGAGCGACTGAGCGTCCTCATACGGCCAGCAGTGAAGGACCACGTCTCGGTTCCATAGGTCATCACTGGCAACACGCACTGGTTGCACAATTTAGTTTTCAGGTTTGGAGATATACCTGACGAGAAGATGTGCCGTAATTTCCCGAACTCTGCCTAGCCGAGTTGAATCCGTCGATTGACCTCTCGGTCGAAGTTGGACTTACCTACCTAGTCGGCTATTTGTCCCAGGTAAACGTACTCGTCCCCAACTTCGAGCTCCCAACCACTACGGGCGTAGGTGTGACATGGACATTAAACATGATCTTTGTTTTGTCTATGTTCATCTTAAGACCTATCCGTTGGGAGACACTATTGAGGTCATTGAGCATAGTGCTTAAGTTCTCCAGCGATTCTTCCATAAGGATTATATCGTCGGCAAATCGAAGGTGAGTGATATACTCGCCATTGATGTTAATACCGTATCCTCAATGGCGAGTAGTAGTTTGTCAACCTATCCTATAAAAATAAATCCTTTCCAGTCCAGTCGTTTGAAAACATCTTCCAATGCAACGGTGAAGTTTTGAGAACACAACGTCAGCGTCTTTCTTACACCTGCCTGCAGTTGGATAGGTTTCGTACTCTGGTTCTGTACTCGGATAGCCATCATAGCCCTACTGTACAAACACTTCAGCACTTCGATATACCGACAGTCAACTTGGCACCGCTGAAGGGACTGCAGCAACGCCCAAATTTCGACGGAATCAAAGGCTTCCTCCGTAGTCCACACGTACACAATGTACGCGAATGATTATAATTTATAACTAGGTAATTTATAACTAGATCAAGCGCAGGATCAATATCCTGCGCCTGATCTCCTTTCGTTCGTATCGGTTGGCCGTCCCATGGGGCCGTGCGAGCGAGAAAATAGATATCACTTCTGCATTTACGCATAAACTCGGGCACTATAATCATGTTCTGTCTCCTTTGAGACTGGCCGCCGTGAACGAAATTTGGTTTGTGCGGACTATATTAATACTTAATAACAACAACCAACAAGAACAAAACCCTCCTTTGATACTTCGCCTCAGTCAGGTAACAAAATAAAACAACCGATGACAATGAAAATATTAACGTTTATTCATCAACTCGACTACATCCACATTAACATTGAAGACGATCTAAGAGTATTTAAGTATTAATTTTAGGGAATCTTCTCACCGCACTTACTACGTACATAGATAAATAAATACAAGGGGACACGAGTGCTGACAATGATTCTTTTAATATATAAGTATATATATATATATATATATATATATATATATATATATATAAATACGAGTACACCAGAGTAGTGGTGGTTAATATATCATATAGCAAAATAAAGCACCGTGCTTTTCATACATAACAAATAGCAAATGCTATCGTGGCTCTCACTTCTTGCTATTTGCTTAAGGTGAATCCCTGGCCAAAATGTTGCCAAAGTGCGTTTTTCAGACTCTATTATCTCATTAGTTATGAAAAATAAACTACATCTAAAAGTACATTATTAATGTTCGATATCTTATCATCGCATTCCACGTTCAAATTTATTTTTATGTGCTATAAATACATTTAA